TTTGAACCTCTCAGCAGCTTGTGAGATAAATGCTAGTGTTACCTCCATTTCATGAATTAACTGAATGAGACCAGGTGATTTGCCCAGGGTCACAGTTTACAAAGCGTCTGAGGTAGGATTCTCACTCATGTCTTCCTTACTCCAAATCCAGCACTCTATCTATCTATCTAAGCTGCATAGCTTTTAATTAATGTCTTTGTGTGAGGGGGAGAATGTAGTGGGAAGTTGGGCTATGGGAAAAGGAGAGATGAGAGATGGTCATTGCAGATGCATCCTGTGGTAGGAGCAATGTCCTAATCTCCTTCGGTGGAAGTAGATTAACTTTTACTTACAAGGTATTGAAACCTTTCTCAAGACTTGGGTGCTTCAGGGCACTAAAGGCTCAGACTGCTCACATCGCCTGCTCCTCATCAGAGTACAAAGAGCAGCTACCACGAGCTCCAGGAGCACTCTGGTGAACCACGAGGGGCATTTCAGGCAGGGAAGCTTCACTCAGTGCAATCAGCTCAACACCTCGATCTGTGTTCTTGTCGAATATCTTTCTCTCACTATTGCTAAGTAATTCTCCTCTTGCTGACTGCTGAATGGTCTACTAGGGTCTCATTTTGTTCCAGTATTGAACCTAAACTGGTCTGAGTCAAGCCAGCCCAGAACATATCACCACTCTATCTATATCTGACCAGACAAGGGACGATAATTCTAATTTCTCAACAAGAGATTTGGTGCTGGGCAGGGGGTGTTGTGAGGCTCAAATTAAATAAAGCACTTTGTAAACCTTAAGGTGTTATATAAATGCTGGTTGTCATCATCATCATCATCATCATCATCATCATCATCATTGGGGCTGTTATTATTATTATTATTATTATTATTATTCTCATTATCCTACAGTGACTAAGCTTCCAGTCTGATGATGATTTCTTTCCCTAAGTCTTCTATTGCACTACCACTGAGCTCATGCAGGCTTTACAGAGCAATGCACAGGTGTGTTGGTAAATATTTAACAACTTGTGCTCTTTGGGGGAGCAGGGAGGGGAGAAATGTAAGCACATGTATTTTTAAGTTTGATCTGCATTATTATAGAAAATTTAAGCAACAAAATAATGAACTGAGCCCTAAATTGTAGTGATTGCTGATTTTTAATGTGTAAATACTCACACTGAAAGTGCTGTTAGAACTAGCTCCAACACAGCCCTGGTGACAATAGGGTAAAATCAATGTGTAGGAGGGATGGGGAGATCACTGCCCTGGAGGGGAGGTTAAAGAATATTCTCATGGTGAGGACTGGCATATGCCTTTGGTAAGGGTCAGGGACTTATAACGGATTGCACCAGGGGTTGGGGGTAATATTTGCACATTAGGAGACTCCCCTTTTCTGATAAAGGATAGCAAAAGGCTGAAAACAAAATCAGTTCCCATCAATTGAGGAATGGCCAAACGGATTGTCACACACAATGTGCAATAGTCTAGTACTTCACCTCGCTCTGGAATCAAACATAAACTCATCTGTTGAGCTTCTAAAGCCCTTCATAACCTGGGCGGCCCCAATTATGTTTCCAGCCTCGTTGATCTTGCACTGTCCTATTCAGCCAAACTGGACCTTTCTCTATCTCACTCACACAAGATACTCAGTCTCTGGTTGTCATGCTTTGCATTGACTGTGCCCCATGCCTGGAGTACACATCCCACTCACCTCTGCCCCTTAAAATCCTTCTCATGCTTCAAGACTCATTTCTAACACTTTTCTATCCTGATTACTTGATCTCTTCAGCTGGCAATGCCTTCCCTCTCAAAAACCTTATTTAACTATGTTGTAATTCTCCTATTTATTTCTTCTGTATATATTTCCATATACGTCCTTATTGTTTGCATTAGAATGTGAATATTATTTCATTAATAGTATTTATATCTCCAGACATCTAGCACAGTGTCTGGCACACAACAGGCACTCAATAAAGGCTGTTTGATTTTTGTATCATACTCCTATAGGTAGTAGGATCCCTCCCCTCCAAATTATACCACTTTGTTGCTTTTCCCTGGTTTTCTCCACATTTCCACCCTTTCTCCTCTTCGTATCCAACTGATCCATAAGGTTTTTTCGTTTTTGTTTTTTTAAGAGCTTCCAAGTATCTGAGAATTCACGAGTTCCCATATAACTGAAGCCCTGCTCACTGACCACCCAAATCATCATTTTATTACAGGCCATGTTTGTCCCTTTTAGCTGCATTTCACCTGAAGCTTCTGCTGTGATATTCACTTATATTCAAACAGAACAAGTTGTGTTCAAAAATATTTATAGAAGACAAGCAATCGAAGTGGAAGACTGGCCCACTTTAAATTGTGTGGACAGAAGAGAAAAAGAATCCACATCCTTTCGATTACATCATCTTCCAATTGCCAATGAAGAAGGAAGAATCTTCCGGGAAGAAGCTAATAGAGGCAGAATGGGCAGGAATGCAGTAGCTAAGACCTTGGTGGGGGGGAAAAGAAGAAACTTAGATTTTGTTTTCTTAACAATAAAAAAAGATAAACACTTTTTTTAAAACCCAGAAATTTAAAATAGACATCTATATATGTCTGTGCAAGGTGTTTTGACCAATTTGTTTCTGAAATAAGCAGCATTTATATATCATAAATATATTTATATATATTTTAAAGCCCCTTACAAATATTATCCCTTTCAAAGCTGGTAACAAGCCAGGGAGGTGAGCGCTATTATTATTGTCATCTTACAGACGGCGAAACAGGCAGGCTGAGGTTGGGTGACTTGCCCAGGGTCACGTGGCTTGGAATTGTCTGAGGCGTCAGTTCCCTGCTCTGTAAAAAGAGAGGTTTGGCTTGGATGGCCTTTCCCTGGATCATTACGACCCGCTAAGTGGTCAGTGGGCCTTCGGCTGGGGAGTGGACAGACATTTTCTGCCTCCCAAGGGGGCCGCTCTAATATTGGTGAAAGTTTTATAAACTTGCCGCCTCCCACCAGGCTGCTTCGCCTGCTCTGCGGGACGGCCAAGCTGGGGGCGTGTGCACAAGAAGGACAAACGAGACTTGGAGGAATGAGGAGACTAGAGGGGCGCATCGCGCTCTTTCCCGCCTCAGCGGCCGGACACAGTGTGACGACACTTCCGGAGGAAGCGTCAGGGAAATGGCTAACGCGAGGCGGCCTTATCGCTGCGGACCTCTCCTCCCATGCCGCCCTCTGGGGGAGCGCGCGGACGGTCGCAGGGCGCTAGCCAAAAGGGCTGCCTCGAGTTGCCAGCTGGCCGATCAGGACGCGGCCCGGCACACCCTCCTCTTCATCTTTTTTTCGGCCATGCCATCTCCCACGAGCAACGGAAGCGGACTCAGCCGGAAGCGACTGTGCCCCTCTAGGCCGACGCCGTGTAGTCTCGCTGATTTCAGCCAGGCGGGGGCGTGGTGTCCTGGAGGACTGCTACCCACGTGACCGTCCTTTCCCTAGGGAAGCCTGTGTCCTAGGTGTTATCTGGCCACTCCTTCAGCCCCTCCTCTTGTGACTTTGACTCCAGGCCCTCCTGTAGGCACTCTCCTCCCCCTGATCAATTAGGCCTATTAAGCAAGCCAGCACCGACTTAAACTAGGGATGCAGACCTGGACTGACCAGCGTAGTGGTCAGCAGGGGTCTGCACCCTGCTTCTGGACCTGATCTCTTCAGACAGATTTCTTTTTCTTTCTTTCTGCCCTCTTTCTTTTTTTCCTTCCTTCCTTCCTTCCTTCCTTCCTTCCTTCCTTCCTTCCTTCCTTCCTTCCTTCCTTCCTTCCTTCCTTCCTTCCTTCCTTCCCTCTCTCCCTTCTTCTCTTTTCTCTTCTTTCTTTCTCTCTCTCTCTCTCTCTCTCTCTCTCTCTCTCTCTCTCTCTCTCTCTCTCTTTCTGTCTCTCTCTCTTTGTCTCTCTCTTTCACTCTCCCTCTCTTTCACTCTCCCTCTGTCTCTTTCACTCTCTCTCCCCCCCTTTCCCTCTCTCTCTCTCCCTCTGTCTCTCTCTCTCTCTCTCTCTCTCTCTCTCTCTCTCTCTCTCTCTCTCTCTCTCTCTCTCTCTCTCTCTCTCTGTCCCTCCCTCTCTCCCACAAATTTGCTGTCCAGCCCTCCCTCCCCCACCCGGTACTCATGCTGTATTGTTTAAATAGACCAGTAATGAGTGGACACCTACAGTCAGGCGAGACCCAAATTCAAATCCAGCCTCAGACACTTTCTAGGTTGGTGACCCTGGGCACTTCGCTTAACCCCTGTCTGCTTCAGTTTTCTCATCTATAAAATGGGGACAAGAAGAACACCTACCTTCCCTGGGTTGTTGTGAGCATAGGATGACACAGTAAAGTCTTTGTTAACATGAAATTGCAATATAAATATTCGCTATTACTATTTTTTGTTTCATGCCAGTAGGCCTTATGAAGTCTCTATTCTATAGTGATCAAAGTCTGCATTTTGTTTTGCCAAGAAAATGTTTATTTTTTTTTCCCTGGTCAGATTTCTATAAGGAAAGCTGGGTTATACTGGGTTAACAATACTGTTATAACATTGTGGGGAGATGGGGAGAAGACTAGGCCTGTGATTTCCTTTTGCTAAGGAAACTCCTGCTACTGATGCAGTCTGCTTCCTGCCCTTCATCTTACAGCCTTAGGGGCTGTGGGAAGTTAAGGGCTCCATTTATAAAACATAGAAGTATGTATCAGAGGTGGACCTTGGACCCAGGTCTTTCTGACCAGAGGCCAGCTTCCACTAGGCCATGCTTCTCATAGCATTTTAAGATTTGCAAACTCATTTTACCTAGTTTATTTCATTTATTCCCACAACACTGTGTTTATTTACACCTCCATCTTACAGTTGAGAAAACATCCAGAGCTAAGTGACTTTGCCCATGGTCATACAACTAGGTCTCTCCTGATTCTAGACCCAGCTCTCTTTTCCCTCTTACCACACACTGTCCCTTTGTAATTCCTAAAACATTTTTTTTTTGCCAAGCAAACTTCAGGTGTATAACACTACCTCATTTCTTTAGTTGGAGATGTTATTCTATACTGCATTCAGAGGGTGTCATTAGCATCACCTTCCTCTGGGTTGGAGGCATCAGTTTCAGTTGTGGAATCTTCCCTAGAGTCTGTGTGGCGTCCTGCAGTGGGACTGCCAGGTAAGGAATCTGTGGCATTAGTCACAGATTCAATTGGCCTGCCTAACAGTTTAGTGAAGAAGACTTTAATAGTGTTCCTATCTTCACACGTATTCTTGGCTTCTGATGCAGGGAAAACAGAGTGATCTTTGATTTTAAAGGCATTGAGAACAAGGGCTGTTGCATTCAACTCATCTTCAGGATTTCCCTCCATCCAAAGCCTATTATCATCAGCAGTATCTTCCTCTATGGAGTTGGAAGTTTTAGACATGGTGGTGTCTTCCTCCTTAGAGTTAGTCAGATCCGTCACACTGAGCACGTCTTTCTCTTCAATGATGCCATTTACTTTAGCCATGGCATTGGGGTCATCTTCCTCTGAAGGGATGGTTCTGTCAAACTCAGTGATTTTTCCTTCTTCCAAGTCACGCACTATAAAATCAGAGACTTCATTTGCTGTGTCAGTGGCATCATCATCATCATCATCATCATTCATTGGAAAAGCATCGTTGGATATTGAGCTGATGCTCCCAGCTGTATAGGAGATGGCTTCCTCTGCAGTGAGAGACATGGTGTCATCAGAGAGCGTGGTAGTGTGTATTGGAGTGGAGATGCCTTCTGCCACATCAGCAGTAGATGTTTCAATACCCTGTAGCTTAGTGTTAAATTCTGATGGTGTTTCCTTCAGAAGAGTAAATTTGTCTGCCACGGAGTTGGTGAAGTTGCTGAAAGTGTTCATGAAGGTGACAGCAGTTGTAATAAGGTCACTCTCTGGTGTTACATCCCTGATGTAAGATGGCCTCCTTCTGAAGTGATATTGTCATCACCCATGGAGAAAACAGTTGCTTCCGTTAGGTTTCTAGTGGTGTCTGTTGTGGGAGTTGGGGAATAGTTAGGGGGTGGATCTTCAGCAATCAGGGCAGCAGCATTAGGCACAGGGAGCTTTTCTTCAGGGGAAGAGCTTCCAGGTGGAGTAGTAATGGCACCAAATAACATCTCCGAGGTGGTCTCCCTAGTTGTACATGGATCACATTCAGTATATGTGGAGTCAACAATGGCCACAGTGTTCTCTTTGGAAGTGTCCAATGGGAAAGCACGAAGGTGAGTTGCAGTTTTAGTAACTGACCCTTCCAGGATTCCAAGGTTGTTCATGGGAGCAGAACAATCAGTTGCTAGATTTAAAAGATAGGATTTTGCCATTTTTGGATCAGCCAAAGAGCCGTCTTTTTCCGGGAGAGTGTTCTGAACTTTGTCGCTGGTGAGTTCATCTTGAAGAATATTGATTGTGTTCACAGACAGAGTAGTATCTTCATTGGATTTAGCAGTCCTTTTTCCAGAGATGAGAAAGTCATCTCCAGATCTGTTGGATAAAGAAGTAGGAGTTGGTTCTTTGGCCATTGTTGGATTGGCCTGAGCCATGAAGAACATGTCACCTGTTAAAACCGAGTACGACATTGTTTCAGAGTCTTGCTTTCCAAAGGAAATTCTGTCTGCTCCATGAACAGAAAAGGAAGTCACAATAGGTACGCTATTCTGTGGACTGGCCGGCTGATCAACAAATTTGGATAGGTCAGCTGTGATTTTATTCTCTTCAGACATAGAATTGACATCTTCTCTGTTGGGAAAAGTGGAATAATCCTGAGGGTCTAATTCATTGTCTTTCAGGATATTGCTACTTGATAGATAGGGTGAAAAGTCAGTGGTGTACAGAATATTTTCTTCTTCTTGAGTAACATCATCTCCTTCTGCTATAGCATCCTCTTCCTCTCTGTGAAATGCTACTTCATGCTCATCAGATGTAATCTCTACAGAAATATCAGCTTCATATATAGCAGCTTCATTGATAAAGTCAGTATCTTCCCTCAGATTAAAGGCAGCAGCTGCAGAGATAGTTCTCTTAGGAGATGGGTACTTTTCACCAGAGGTGGCTGTCTCCGTGACTGGGTCTTCTTTTATTGTGCCAACTGTATGGGGGCCAATGTAGGCAGGATTCTTTGGCAAGAGGGTAGAATCAGCTGGAGGAAGTGGAGATTCCAGCTGGAGGACCTGAGGGTCACTTTGAACATTGATACCATTCTGTTCTGGGATAGGAGCCCTATTAACAAGTGAAGGCTTTTCAGAAACGGGCCCTGAGGCCTCTGACATGGTCGTATCAGCATCATCCAATGACATTTCCTTTGAAGGAAGAGTTTCTTGGGTATTATCAACAGTGGCATCTTTTAGTAAAGTGGTATCATCTATGGACATAGGAACAGAATTTGCCCGAGAAACAATGGGGTCATCTTCAGGTTTAATATGTCCAGTGTGAAGGGTAGAGGCTGAAAACATGGGTGTGGGGGTTTCTTCTTCAGGTGTGATAGCATCTGCTAGACCTGGATTAGTTACTGGTTCAATGTCTTCAATCTTATGAGAAATGAAGGAGGACATGGGAGTAACATAATTCTTTAAATTGGTCATTTCTGCCACCCCATTTTCCTCCTTTTCTTCTGATGTGGCATCAGTTGCAGTGATCACAGGCTCTGCTCTCGGGTCAACGGTATTATAAGTAGAGAATCTGGTATCTTTGGTGATGGATGTCTCCTGGTTTTCAAGAGGGGTGATATTCTCAGCAAGACTAGTGCTCCCAATCACAAGGCTGCTCATATCTGTTGTGGTGAAGTTGGGATCCCAATCAGAAGCAATGTAATTACCCTTGTGGGTGTTTGCTATTGTCTCTGAGTGAGGCATGTCAGGCTCAAAGGAAATCACATTAATGGCAGCCCTGTTACCCTCTTCAACAGCTGTGATTTCTTGAGTTGTTTTAATTCCATCACTGATGACATCAGTCATGGTTATGGTCTCCATAGGAACTTTGCCTTTGTCAGCTAGAAAATTCTCAGCAGGAAATGCATCCTCACTGTTTTTCTCCTTGACGGTAGCGGAATCACTGCAAGCTATGGTTTCAAGTCCATTTGTGTTGGTCAAGCATGAATTTGCAACTACATTAAGGTCAGATACATTTGATTCAAGGATAATATAATTATCCTCAGAATTAGAGTTGTCCCCTCCAATTAAATCAGTATCATATGGAAGGCTTCCTTCTACCCGAATTACATTGTCTTCTGATACTATTGGATTGGCGTTTTCATTAAGGAGAGTTATTTCAGGTACGCTGGTGTCATCCTCTGTAGAAGTTTCCATTTGTACAACCACTGTCTCTGTTTCCTTGGACACTGTAAAGAAGTCATCTAGCAAAGCCTCATTTTTCCCCCATAGAGAAGCTGCAGCACTATCAGTTGTGGCGTCAGGAGTAAGGCTGGGGTTTTCATGAGTTAGTAAAGGGTTGTTGGCTAGGGATTTGGTGACATCTGCTTTAGGAATGGGAGAATCACCATCTCGACCAGCAAGGGCACCAACAGAAGTAACTTTCTCTGTAGCAGGCATGTTTGCTGTGGCACCCGTGTCAGTTACCATTTCCATGTTTTCATCTATATGGGAAATTCTGTCGGCTTCAGGGGGCATGAGCAGCCCTGAGGGTCTAGTGCTATCCTCTGAAGTGGATATGTCACTCCCAATGGTTTCGAAGTTATGTTTTGAGTATTGTTCTTCAGCTGCTGTGACACTGGTTTTTCTTCCTGGAGTAAAAGCATCAGCTGCGATATTCTTCATGTCAGAAACTTCTTTATTTTTGATGGGGGCAGGTTCTCCAGCAGAGCCGAAGTTGTCCATTGTTGAGGTCCTGCTCTCTTCCATAGGGAACTCAGTGTCTGGGTCTAGAATAATTGAAGAATGGGTTCTTTTCTCTTTTGGGTTAGATGTCTCTGGCAGAAAGGTGGTGGCATCATCTACAACTTTATCCTTTTGCTCCATAGTGGTTATTTTTAGAAATCTTGAAGACATTTTCTTAGTGCCATCAGAGCTGGAATAAGCTATTGTCTTAGGAGCCACAGATTTCAACATGGTGGTATGAATCTCAGAGCCAGACGGTTCATACTCAAGGATAGTGGTATGACTGCTTTCTGTAGAGTTTGTCCACAAAGGATTGGCAGTAACTGTTTCAGATGAGGAGTATGAACTATCAGCCTTGTTGTAGGATGCATAAGTCCCCAGTTCAGACGGCTCATATGTGAGGGTAGGCCTGCTTATAATGGGGCTTGGAGGAGCAATGGTGCAATCCTCAGTGACACAGGCAGAGACATTGTTGTCAAGGACAAGGGTCATCAAATCATTATTCGAGGTGTTTTCTTCTGCCAGATAGATAATATCTCCCTCTGCTGATGTATCTTCCTCTACAAAGGGAATTTCATCATATTCCACAGAGGCAGATTTCTAACTATGGGGCTTAATTCTGTCTCTGACATCTGCTCCAGGAACATTGGTAGAAATGATTAAAATGTCAGGCACCATGGCTGTTCTGGTGCCTTTTTTTCTAGCAGTGGCCTCAGCTTGCCTTGTGTAGATGCCCTTGATGATGGATGTACTAGAACCATTGGGAAGAAGAGTGGGTACCAGTGGGTCCCAATGGGAAGAAGAGGGGGTACCAACGGGAAAGTCTGCTTCCATTTTAGTGAGGGGCCAGCCTGAAGGGGCTGTCAGCCCCAGGTTGTAGGGCCTCAGCTGTGATTGGTGTCACATCTCTCCATGGTGATTTGTCTGGGATTTATTAGGAAGGGGAAGGTGCTCAGGGGTAGGCTTGGGGAGAGCTGTCAGTGGCCAGCTTCCTGTGGACATAGCAGTTCCCACTTCAGAAGCAGTGGATTCGCTGTTAGGTTGGATGTATTCCGAGGGAAGCACAGCATGCTTAGCTGCCATGGCAGGGCCTTCCCTGTAAGTGGAACTGCTGCATTTGCAGTCAGGTCTGCCCTGTATTTGTTTCCTGTATTTGCGCCGGGCATCCTGACATCTGCAGGAGCTGTGAAGGAAGTTGCTGGAGATTTGTCCTTCTGGGAATCAGCCATTTCTGCCACAGCAGTTTTGGTCTCCTGTTCAGGGGGTTTGGCGCCAGCCCCGTCATGTGTAGCACGGTCGCCAGGGGCAAGCACGGAGCTGTCTTTGTCTTCAAGGGGGGGCAGTGGGGACTGGACATGGTGTCTTTGGAGGCTGATGGAGAGTCTGCGTGAGGACCAACTTCACCATCTTTTCGAGCCTTTCTTTTTATTGAAAGGTAAGCTAGAAAAGTCATGTTGTCTTCAGCTTCCGGATACTTCTGTTCTGTGTCGGTAATTCCTGTAAACTGAACAGTTGTTTTTGTCATTCCGTCTGGGATGGCATCAGCTGGGATAGTCATAGTTTTAATGTTGTCATCAGCCATCAGAGCAGCTGAGTCACCTACAGTGGAAGGTTTTTCATCTCCAGGACTAATGGAATCACCAGCTTTAGTTTCTCCGTTAGTGGTTATTTGAGGTGGAGGGTTGACAGCTTCAGTGATGACACGATTGTTATTTGCTTCATGGAAAACAGAGCCGTCCTCGGGGTCTGCATTTTTGCCTTCAAGGATATTGTTACCCAACATGAAAGGTGAAGAGTAAGTAGAATATAGAGTATTTTCTCCTTCCTGAGTAGCATCATCTCCTTCTGCTACAGCGTCCTCTTCCTGCCTATGAAATGCTGCTTCATGATCATCACCCTCATGTGGAGTAGCTCCAATCACAAAGTCAGTATCTTCCTTTAAGTTAAAGGCAGCAGCTGCAGAGAGAGCTCTCTTAGGAGATGGGTACTTTTCACCAGAGGTGGCTGTCTCTGTGACTGGGTCTTCTTTTATTGTGCCAGTTGCGTTGAGGTGAGTATAGGCAGAGTTCCTTGGCAGGAGAGTAGAATCAGCTGGAGGAAGTGGAGATTCCAGCTGGAGGGCCTGAGGGTCACGTTGAATATTGATGCCATTCCATTCTGGGATAGGAGCCCCATTCACAAGTAAGGGCTTTTCAGAAACAGGCCCTGATGCCTCTGACACAGTCGTCTCAACATCATCCAATGAGCTTTCCTTCAAATAGAAGGATTCTGGGGGAATTCCAACAGTGGCTTCTGGGTTAAAGTTTAAAGGATCACTTATCAGTGAAGTGGTGTCACCTATGGACACAAGAGTGGAATCTACCTCAGAAACAGTGGAGTTGTTTTGAGGTTTAATGTACCCAGTGTAAAGAGTGGTGGCCTTGGATACAGCTGGGGTGCTTCTCTTTGTAGGCACAAAGGAACGTATAGGTGTCCTTTCCATCGAGGGTTCAGTGTTTGTACCTCCGTAGGAGCTGTCAGCATCGGGAGTGATGAAGACAGTGACAGGAGCACCTACTGCCTCTGGCATCTTCTTTGTCTCAGCCCCAGGAACTTCCCTGGGATCCTCTTCATGGACAATTTTGCTGTCAAAAGAGTCTCTGTCCTTTGAGGCAAAAGCTGCTGTTCTGGTAGAAGCCAAAGCGAGGTCCCTGTTGCTTGCTGTGGGGGTCTTGGCTCTCTCTGGAGCAACGGGGACATCCCCTAGGACATTTCTTTTCCTCTCTGGGTAAGAAATGTCAGGAGGAAGGAAGTCAGTTTCCATGTCAGCCAGACCATCCTTTTCTAAAATAACAATTTCTTCAAACTTAGAAGCAGCTGTTTCAGGTGGAAAGTTTGTGGCCTTAGCCAAGAAATATCCCCTGGGAGTCAGAAATCCATTTGGATCCAGGGCAAAGGCTGCATCTTCTCCAAAATTAATCAAATAACCTTTAGGTGTAAGATTATCTCTTTGGAAGATGCTGTCACGTGAGAGAAAGGGGGTGACATCAGTTACCTCTGGGATGCTGTTATCCCCCTTCCTCTTCCTCTCTTACTTCAGGTTCATGCCTTGAGTCTTCCTCTGTAAGAATTTCGTACTCTGGTCCAGAGACATGAGCTGTGGCATCAGTGTCTGGAGAGGTGGGGGTCACTGCTGCAGTGGAGGTGGCTGGGCTATTGGGGTTGTCAGCGATGGATGGATTTTCAGCTTCAGTCTGCCTTCTTTCTGTGGGTGTTCTAATGACATCACCGATGGAAGCCTCTTTTGCAGGGTGACCTGTGTGAAGTTGGTCAGATGGAAGGGTGAGATGCTGAGCTGACAGTTGATGACCATATCCTGGGAACAAAGTTACCCGGCTGTTTCTTGTGTTAGTGTATTCAGTGTATACCCTGGGGGCAGCAGCTGCTGTTGGCCAGTCTGTGACAATTTCTGGGCCATCATCCCCATAGCAAATGCCCTCAGCTGCTGGGATTCTGGTAGCGGTTACTGGGAGGAGGTCATTCTGGGTGTTGGTTGTTTCTGCCACTGTTCTTCCCCCTGCCTTTCTGTGGGCTTTGACACCAGCAGCAATGGTTGTGGCAGGGGCTCCTGATGTGTGATCCATGGGTCCTGTGGCATTCTCGGAGGAGCTGGGTGTTTTGTGCCTGGGCATGGGGCTGTTGGCAGTATTATCGGTGGTAAAAATGCTTGTGTCTCCCACAAAGAGGGCATTGTCAGTGTTAGGGAGAGCATCATGACTCCTTACATTTCCTAGGCCTCTCATGTCAGGTAGAAAGGATACAGCAACCTTGTCAGCTTCTCCACTCTTTTTTTCCACAAAAGCAATTTCTTGGACACCAAAGGTTGCCTTCACCAGGTTCCAATGGCCACTGTTTTAGAATTTGTCTTGTCAGTTGGGCTGTTAATATTGTTAGATTCAATGTCAGCCCCTTCCCTCCTGAGGGCAGCACTCCTTCTATCCACAGCCATTTTTATATCAGTAGGAATAAGAAGAGAGATTTTGGTACTCACAGCAGTTCTGTTGAAGGGCATTGCCTGACACAAAATCATTATATGCCGTTACTATATGGAGGGTTTCCTTCAGGTAGAGTCACGATCTCTTTCTTTGCTGTTGTTCCTACACCTGTGTGAGAGGACTCCTCTGAAGGCACGGTTTCAAGGATGAGCCTTTCAGAATTGTCTCTTGGGCCATGAATGCTAGATGGAATGTCTTTCACAGGCTTAGTGATAGCAGATGCCATTGTAGAAGAACTTTCAGAACTGGTGGGAGAAAACCTGTAAGTTGGTGAGTCAGCTGGAAGAAATATAGATTCCAGTGGGAGAACCCAGGGATCCCTCTGAGATTCAAAGATTTTCCCTCCTGGGTCAGCAGCTTCATTTATGGTCTCAGTATTTTCCACCATGGGTTCCCATGCCTCAGATGCTACTATTATTGAAGCATCAGTCAAGGGGTCTTGTTCTGTAAAGACTAGTTGGGCTTCATCAGCTGTGACATCTGGCAACAGGGAGAGAGTTTCAGATGTCAGTTGTGGGATATCTCCTGTGGACAGAGCAATGTCTGCTCCAGGAATGATAAACTGTCCTTCAGCCTTATTGTCTTTACCAGGGAGGGTAGTGCCATCAGCCACAGTCAGAGTAGCTCTATCTGCTCGTGTCAGGGCACCTGTTGTCATGGGGTCAGTTAGGGAGGCTTCTCTCTCATAGGGAAACTCATCAATAACAGAATCAGTGAAGGAATTCATGGGATCCATCCCAAGTTGAAAGTTTATCAGTTGGGGCTCAGCTTTATTACTTTCATTCTCTTGAGCTCTGGGGTCAGCTGCTGTGGTTGTAGAGGCTGCTTGCAGTCCAACAGCATCATAAGTAGCAGATCTGTCATCATTTTTGACCAAAGGTAACCTGTCTTTCCTATTGGAATCCTTACTATCAGTAATGTATGGCCTTGTGTTGGTCCTGTCAAGGACAGCATCTGGAACAGAAGAGTGAAGGGTCTTTTTCACTCTCGGATTGGACATTTCTGGAAGGAAGTCCACATCATTGTCAGCTTTAGCTGCCATTTGTAGAGATGCCAAGGGAAAGCTTTCAGTTGGACTCAAGTTGAAATCATCCTTGGTTCTAGGATTCACAGACTTCAAGTTGGAAGGATGTCCTATGAGATTACTTTTGCCACCTTCTGTGTCAAAATTATCCTCTCCAATAAAAATGGTGTGGTGATTTTCAATAATTCCTGCATCCCTTGGAATAATAATGATCCTAGACAGAGAATTAGGAGCAGAAGCCTCAAATCCATCTGGGCCATATGTGAGTGGAGTGATGTCCATAATGGGGTCTGTGTCATCTGTTTTAAGGACTGTCCTGGAATCTTCAGAAACAGAGCCATAGCCCTTAAGGATATTGTCACGGAGTGGAGTGATCATCCAGTCCACATTCTCTCTCACGTTTTTTGTTGGCAGAATGACATCATTTACCTCCA